TAGAAGAGATTGCCCCAAAATTTCAAAGGAAAGACATAGGTCAGAATATAGAGACAAATACAATTATAGACAGTCTTCCATAGATAGACATAGATATAGAAGCCCACCAAATTACAAAGAGAATAGAGGGGGCAGAGATAATTCAAAGGATAGAAAATCTGGTTCACTGAATGGGTTAAATAAACAAGACAACACTAACATACAGCAAAATGAGAACAATAATTGGCTTATTGATTCTGGAGCAACCAATCACACCACTAATAACAAAAATATATTGTCTTCATTTACAGAAGATAAATTTGTAATAAAGGTAGCTAACCAAGAAAAGGTTCAAGTATTAGGTAGAGGGAATGTAACCCTGCCTGGTCTAGGAAAAATAGAGGGGGTATTGCTAATACCTGAAATACCTCATAACATACTAAGTGCCATAAAACTAAGTAGAGATTCTGACATTAACATTGTTTTTTCAAAAGGAAAAGCGACTTTAGAGAAGAATAAAATAAATATAGGCACTGTGATGATTAAAGGAGGCCTACCTTATCTGATAACAAAGGAAAAATGGCTGCATAACATTGATTCAAATATGGGAGATTGTATTGAAGTAGATGATGAAAATATTAGCAACAGTGATAATGATGAATGTAAAATATCTCATGATCACATAGATGCACACAATGAAAAAAAACCAAAAATAGGTAAGCCAATTCATGATGAGTGTGCTCACATCTTACATAGGAAGTTAGGACATGCCAGTTTTCCTGTAGTACAAAAAATGACTGAACACGCAGAAGGTGTTAAAATAAAAAATTGTGAAAACTATTTGGAATGCTCAGTATGTAAATCTACAAAACTAAAAACTAGTCCCAGGCCAAGAAAATCTACTAGATCAACTAACAAAATTTTTGATTTAGTACACATGGACTTAGTTGGTCCATTAACTCCATCAATCACTTATAGAAAACGTTACTTCTTGACAATAGTAGACGATTATAGCCGCTATGGATTTGTTTATACATTAAAACACAAAGATGAAACCTTTCAAAAATTTAAAGAATTTTACAAACGCATAGAAACACAACACAATATCAAAATAAAACAAATCATGACAGATAGGGGATGTGAATTCATGTCTAAAGAATTCTCCCAATGGTTAAAAGACAAAGGAATGTTACATTACACATCTAGTCCATTTTCTGCGTTCCAGAACGGGATTGCAGAGAGGAAGAATTCAACATTACAAACCATGATTAGATGCACATTGGAAGATGCTGGCTTAAGCAAACAATTCTGGTCAGAAGCCTTACATTATTCAAATTACACACAAAATAGAACCTGGTCCAGCATTGTAAATAGGACACCATATGAAGTGATGTATAATAGGAAACCAAAATTAGCACACATGCACATATTCGGAGTCACTGCAGACATACACATACCTAAGCAATTAAGAAGAAAGGGAGAAAACGTATCCAGAAGACTCAGATTTATGGGATATGAGACTGGCACTAAAGGGTACAGATTCATTGATAATAATAACAAATTTATAGTCTCCAGAACAGCTGTGTTCCATGAACAGGCCAACTGGTCTAAATTACATCTTAATGAAATATTTCCAAATAAATACAAAGATACAAAATCCCATGAGAAAGGGACCATAGAAAAGCAAAATATCAACAAATATAAAAACAAAACCAAAACTTGGACAAATAGCCAACACAAAATAAAGACAGACACACTAACAAAAAAGGAAGCAAGATATTTGCATGATAACGATAGTAAACCTGAAAAAACTATTAGAAACACCAGAAATCAAATGCCAAATAAATACAAGGATTATATAATGCACATGGATGGTGAGCCAACAACACCTAATACATATGAGGAAGTGTTAAAACTCCCTCATGAAGAAAAAGAAAAATGGGAATTAGCGATGAAAAAGGAGATGGAAAGTTTACAAGGATTAAATGTATTTACACCTGCAATTGCACCTAAAGATAAAACAATTATTAGTACCAGGTGGATATATAAAATTAAGAACTTAGAGGGAGGCAATACTCTATACAAAGCTAGACTAGTTGCACAAGGTTATGCACAGAAATATCCGGAGGACTATACTGACACGTATTCCCCCACAGTAAGAACAGAGAGTGTCAAAACAGCTCTAGTGGTAGCATCAGCACTCAATCTTGATGTATTTCAATATGACATACAGACTGCGTATCTACACGCAAAACTAGATAAGGAAATATACGTAAGAGCACCTCACAGTCAATACACAAACAAAAATGAGATTTGGTTGTTAAACAAGAGTTTATACGGTTAAAACAATCTGGTAAACGATGGTATGATTGTTTAGTAAAAGTACTTAAAACCATGGACTTCAACGCTACCACTGCTGATAACTGTTTCTTTGTCAAAAAGGGTGATGATTACATTGAATTTGTATTGATTTATGTGGATGACATTTTATACATAGGAAAACATAAAGAGAGAAGAGAAACTTTTGTAACTAAGCTAAATGAACATTTCTCATTAAAATCCCTAGGCAAAGTAAACAAATATCTTGGTGTTCAAATTAATAAGACTAGAAGGGGATTCAAACTTACTCAGAGAGATAAGATCATAGAACTTTTAAATAAATGCAATTTAAACAATGCCAAACCTTGTGATACTCCTATGCAAACTGATTTCTAAGAAATACTGATGAATCTTCCCCCGAATTCAAGGATAACACATTTTATAGATCAATCATAGGTTCACTTCTTTATATATCTAATTGGACAAGACCAGATATCGCCTTACCACTCAATTTATTATCCAGACATGTCAGCAAACCAACAATGTATCACTGGGAAGCTGTTAAAAGAATTTTAAGATATCTGAAAAGTACACTAGACTTTTGTTTAATGTTAGAACCTAATGACAATAAAGAACCAAAGCTTACATGTTACGCAGATGCGGACTGGGCTGGAGACACCTCATGTAGAAAAAGTACATCTGGTTATATATTCCTCTTAAATGACTGTCCAGTTTACTGGTACACTGGTAAACAGGAACTAGTGGCCACTTCAACGACAGAAGCGGAATATGTTTGTTTATCCAAAGCTGCAAATAACCTTGTATGGTTTAATGATTTAATTTCAGATGTCTGGAAAAAACCTGCTTTGCCTTTTGTTATGCATGAAGACAATAAAGCAGCCATTGAAATATCTAGATCTGATGCTATTGGACAAAGGTCCAGGCACATAGATATAAAATTTAAACATGTGAGACAATTATCTCAAGATGGATTTATTAAAGCAGTGCATTGTGATACTTCAGAACAATTAGCTGACATATTGACAAAGCCTTTACCTTCTAAGCAACATAAATATTTAACTTCTAAGTTGTATGTTTTGTATTGTCCTGAATCTGAATGTAATTGGTGTTGCATAACGAATCGGCATTTAGAGGGGGATTTGTCAGATGTAAATGCCTTATTCTCTAATGTGTAAATAGTATATGAACGGGGTATCAGGGGTTAACTTATTCTTCACTTCTTAATGTATTCATAATTCACCACTCCCACATATAGCTCCACCCATTGTATATATAAGGAGCTACATGCACCCTTTTCCTTGCTTCTATCTGTGAATATTCAGTGAATATAGAATGCCTATTGTAAATAAAAGGAAATATATTTAAACCTTAACTCTTACTAATCTTATTGAGTCTGATCCTGAAAATATTGCAACACATTCTTTATCTTAATATCTTTATATTTGTTTGGGGTTGGCTTTCTTCCCTTTCATCTTTTTTATTGTACAGCAATCTTTCTCCTCAAACCTACCACCTCTCTCTTTTCTTTCCTTCTTACTTTCTCTTCTCCACCCTTCTTCTCCTCCCTACTTCCTCTTCCTTTCTCCTTCTCCTCCTCTCTTCCTCCCTCTCTTACCCTCACTCCTACTCTAATTTCCCTTCCTTTCCTTCATCCCTCTCTATTGCTGTATCCTTTTATGCATATGGACTACTCAGAGGGCTAAAAAAGTTATTTTTGACTGGTCCTCGCACTTTTGACCAGTCCTCGAACTTACGACTGTCCTCACATTTTACGTTTTTCTCCCTATCTTGTCACCATGGTGAAGAGAAGCAATTGTGAAATGAGTGACATGGTTGTTAAGAATGCTGCATGGGCATAAATGTGAGGATGGTCATAAGTGTGAGGACCAGTCAAAAGTGCGAGGACCTGTCAGAAATGACTTTTTTCAGCCCTCTGAGTAGTCCCTATACACATAATCATGGCCACCCGGTCACATGACCAACTAGCCATCCCCACCCAGTCACATGACATCTAAGCCACTCCCACAAAATAAGCCACGCCTACAGAACTGGTAGTAAAAAATTTTAGAACCCACCCCTGGTTGGGGGTCACCACAACATGAGGAACTGTATTAAAGGGTCGCGGCATTAGGAAGGTTGAGAACCTCTGTGCTAAATGCTTAAAATCACTGAAACTATAAGAACTAATTGCAGCATGATGGTTCAGATGGACTTGTTTCTATTATCAATTTCCTATGATGGATTCTCCCTTCAAAATCCAGGCAATTGTAATTGGGCCAAAGTACAGAGAATGTCTAGGCCTATTTTGTACAATTATAGCTGACATGTCCTTATGACCCTAGTAAATAAAATCTTCTGTTAGAAAGGCCCTAACATTTTGAAAAAGTAGGTAAACTGTTTTATCTGCTTTCTCAATTAACACGTGCACACATGCACACGCACAGACACACACACAAGGAGGCAATAGTGTTTAGAAGTCTCTGCTTTCTTGCATCTAGTAATCTTTTATGTTTGAGGAGCTTTTAGATTTGTATCTAATAACTTTGTTCACAATCTTGTATGCAGCTTTTTACTGGACTGAAAATATTTTGCTTTCTATGAGCTAAGCTTGTAGAACATTTACTGTATCAGTTCAAACCTAAACTGATTACACATAACAATTTTTGTTTTCGTTCTTCCAGGTTACCCCTCTGAAGAGTTGCTGCTCAGCGCTGAGCATCTTTGCAAATCTTTCTCTAATCTCATTACTCAAGTGGCCTCACCAGCCAGGAAAACTGAAGTTGGTGGTAATAGCCTTTCCGGACTGTCAGATCTTCCAAGTTAAAAGAAGATAACCATGTATATTATAGCTGTTTTTTAAAAAAGTATTCATACATTGAAAGTGGCATGAACTTTTACATTCCACTATTCTTTCCTCTGCTTTTTCTCTGGGTGTTCATACTCTGGTTTTTCTTAAAATCAAATAATTATTCTATTGACCATATATCTTTTAAAAAGCACATATATTAAGCCCATGAAACTTGATAAATATAATACTGTCGCTCAATGGTTCTCCCTGAGTGTGTCCGCATGTCGTCACAGGGGCTCTGCAAAGGCTTGAAGAAATATTATGATTCAAATCCTGAGGGGTCCATAACCATGGTCCATGGCCACAAAAGGTATTTAAAGGCGGGTCCATGGTGAAGAAAAGTTGAGAACCACTGCGGTAGCTGATCTATAGCAATGAAATATGGGAACTCATATGGCAACATTAGAATGCGTATGGACCTCCCTGTGGTTTTGTTTGAATCCATGTATTCAATTTAACAGAAAATATGAAGCGAAGAACAAAGCAGATTTCTTTATACTTCGAGACATTTACACAGTTCTAGAGAAACTCACGATTTACATCACAGAAATTTTAACCCAGTTTTAAGATGGTTTTATTGAATACTCATCTCAAAAAATTCACTTTAAAGGGAAAAGACACATCTTTTGTGTCTTTTGCATTCAGTCATAAAAATAAATCTTTGGGGAAATCAACATGCATGTTAATATTTATTGAGGAGAAAAATCCAATGGCTTGATTATTGTAGTTTTACCGAAGATAAGATGATATTATAGAATCAGAAGATGTTCCCTTCTCCTTCATCACCTCCTTCATCATCTGTCTTATGTAGGCAAAACCAGAACAGTGAACAGTTACTTATATATTATGCATTTATAATTCCTGGCCCCTAGAACCAGATTTTTTTAAAACAAACATAATTAAGTCATCTTTGCCTACTGACGTCCAGTCGAAAATAAGTCAAAGAGTCCAGCAAAAGTGAGTGACAAATCAGCTTTTCTGAAAGTAATGAAATGAGAGATAGTTGGGAAAAAAATCCATACGCTAATTAACTGTGAAGGCTTACTAGTGGATAAGCATCTGTACATAAGAAATTACGTACATGCAATTAAAACAATAAACTGAAATAAAACATGAAAAAAGCGACTTTTACCGCTAGATTTGTTCTCTTCTTGTTATTACAAAATTATATACTTTACTGTATTTTTTGTGATGTATAGGACTTCTTTCTTATTTGTTGTGTTATTCTGAGAACTAGAATAGGAAGAGCATCTATTATCAATTAATTACAGAGTATAAACTATTCAGAAATTAGTTGCCCCCAGAGGTATCTTGTGGCCAACTTGGAAATTCTAAAACAAATTGTAGGTAGTAGTTTCTTAGGTGTGCTTTGCCTTTTTACTTCACAGCTTATTCTCTCTATTCTGTCCTCATCTTGACCAGATGGCTGAGACAGCAAAACACGAATTGAAAGCATTGATTAAAGTAACAGGTAACTTACTCCAGAGCTGTAGGGGAAACAAACAAACAAAAAATCGACCTAGCTCAGCAGGGATTTGTGTGTGTGTGCACGCGTGCACACACGTGTGTGTGCTTGTGCAGAACTGTCCATGGTGCTGCAGCTGGCAGGAGCACCTAGGTTACTCAGTGTATCCTACTTCACTCTCCAAAATGTAGAAAAAAACCTTACCTCTCTCAACCGAGTGAAGTCCTTTTGGAAAGCTGAAATGAATTGCTCCTGCAATGAATGGTGCTTTTTACACAACTTTCTTTCTTCTAAGAATCTGAAGACATCTAAGATTCTGGACCCTCCATTTCTTTCCCCTTTATAAACATGTGGGAGTGCGTGTCATTTCTCTGTCTTGCGTCAAAGTTCTAGGAGGAAATTCCCACCGTCTTTAGTCTTAGCCCCTGAAGCAGGCTATTTCCTGGCCCTCCTGTGGTTTATAGTTTGTTTTGCAAACACTGAGAAAAATATCTCGCCCACTCAGGAAGACTTGCCTGAAGTCATAGAGCTACCTGATATTTCTCGCTTTTTAGCATCTGCTGCAAATAATCAAGTTGGAGGACCTATTGGCAGCCGAAGTGTGATGGAAGAAGATGCATTAACAATCACTAACCTGAACTGCATGAATGCAGGACTATTTAATTCTATCCTTTTGAAACAGTGCATTTGAATGTATATTCTCACCAATATACAGTACATTCTCACCAATGGGTGAGATTAGCAGTAAAATCCTATACATGTATTTTCTACATGTGAGCCCCATAGGGTTGAACGGATCTATTCCTCATATTAGCAACTGTTAAAGAATGCAGCAAAATCAGACCCTGGGACTTAAATCATGCCTTTATTTACTTAAGCTCTTATATTTTATCAAGAACACAGTGAGTACAGGGAAATAGAGAGCATGTAGAAAGCAGCATGATAATGCTGATACGATTGTGTGAAGTGATCCTGAAGGAACATGTAGATGAGAATAAGTGATTGCTGCTTTGATGGAGTGGCTAGTGACCATTCCTATTTGCAGAATGAATAAAAAATATTATTCATTAGCTTTATCATTCATTAGCATTAGTATCATTCTAAAAAATATATAGGCAAATTCTACTGTACTGTAAGATAATAATCTAGACTTTGTGTTTAAGACAACAGATGAAATGTTTGCAGTAGCTCCAACAGAGAACTTCATTGGGGGATTTTAGAAGAAAGCAGTCATTTCTGCTTCATTCAAATCCTTAAGCCGAAAATAGAAGTTCAAGGGCTTAATGAAATAAAATTAACACTTCTTATGATATCTTATTCTACTGTTATAGCAGCCCTTCCTCTTCCCTGTCTGGCAGAATTACTACTTTAACCCAGTAGGGTAGGTAATTAATTTTACTCCTGGATTTACTGGAGAATTGCATTACTGCCATGTGATTTTTTTCAGCCATAGGCCATCCTTGGCTTTTGAATGGGGTACTAGGCACAATATTGAAGAAATACAGTAGCAGCAGCAACGAGGATAAACTCCTAAATTTCATTCCATCAACATTTGAGTGTAATTAAGATTAAGTATATGATGTTTAATTTTTTAAAATAAATTCTTTAAATACATACATGCAATTATTTATTCTTTTTGCTTTCCTTGCATGTCTTAACTGATAATAGTTTGTTTTTTTAAAGTCAAGAGATGTTGGATTATAGCCTTTTCGTTGACTTTTGGACAAAAAAAAGGAACTTAGAATCAAAAAACTTACTGCTCAGCTCCAAAAAGACAAACCATATGCTTCTAAACCATTCATAGAATTCATTATTATAGATAAGCTATGAATGTCTGCTATGAATTATGGCATCAATTAATTGAAATATGTATGTCTGTAAATACGTATCTTGAATGTTTTTATTTTACTTTTTTCTCCCTTTTATAATTTTTGGGGTTTTTTTGTTTTTTGTTTTGACATTCAGTTCATTTTTAAAAAACAATTCAGGCAATCATGAGTCATATAGATTTCCCTAATTTGGTATTGCTTGGGCAGCATTTTTATTGTGAGATCTCACCACAATGAATATGTATTAGATGCTGTCCCACAAACTAGCTAATAAACATAAATCTAGACTGTTGCATCAATGCACTGTGTAATTAAGATTCAATTGTTATATGAATTATAAGTTAAGTTTACTTTATTGTCATTGCACCTCATACAACAAAATTAAATGCCATCTTCAGTGTACATTGTAACTATAAAAATAAAACACACATCCTTCACATTCTATACAATTGAATTGAAAACCCAATATTGCAATAGGATTGCACTATAGGGTAGAATTCAATATAGTTACTGCCCTGGGATAGAAGCTGTTTTTCAGCCTATTTGTCCTTATTTTTATTATCCTGTGCCGTCTGCCAGATGGTCATAGTTCCAAAAAAGGGTGGCCAGGATGAGATGGGTCTTTAAGAATGTTTTGAACTTTCTTAAGGCAGCGGGAGCTATAAAGCTCTTCCAAAGAGGAGGGAGAGAAACCAATGATCCCCTGGGCAATGATGTTAACCCTCTGGAGTGCTGTCCTATCTGCCACTGTGCAATTGGCAAACCATACACAGGTGCAGTAAGTTAAAATACTCTCTATGGTGCAGCGGTAGAAGGTCACCAGCAGTTTTTCATTCAGTTGTTGTTTCCTGAGAAGTCTCAGGTAATATAATCTCTGCTGGGCCCTTTTGACCAGTGCTGCAATGTGAATGCCCCAGGTCAGGTCCTCTTTTATGATTACACCCAGAAACTTAAAACTGGCCACTTGCTCCACTCCGTCTCCATTGATAAGCAAGGGCTGGATGTCTCATCTATTCCTTCTATAGTCCACTATAAGATCCTTGGTCTTATTCATGTTAAGGACCAAGTTATTGTCTCCATACCATGAAAGCAACTGGTCCACCTCATCTCGACAGGCAGACTCATCCTCCCCGGAGATGAGTCCCACCACTGTTGTATCATCTGCAAATTTAGTAATAGTCTTTGTAGTATTTAGTAATAGTATTTAAATAATGGCATCATCATGACTCAATTTATCATATGAATAAAGCCAGAAATACTAGTAATATGGACACCAAAGTGTTTTTATGAAATACATATCTGATATAAAATGTATGCTATATATTTATAAATGTCCATTTTAAGTGGGGGGGAGGGATACAGGCAATTCTTGATTTACAACAGTTCATTTAGGGACCATTCAAAGTTACAATGGCACTGAAAAATGTGATTTATGACCGTTTTTCAGCTGTGACTTTTGCAGCATCCCCATGATCAATTTGGCAACTGGTTCATATATGACTGTTGCTGTGTCCCAAGATCATGTGATCACCTTTTGCAACCTTCTCACAAGCAAAGTCAATGGGGAAGCCAGGTTCACTTAACAACCAGGTTTCTAACGTATCAACTGCAGTGATTCATTTAACAACTATGGCAAGAAAAGTAGTAAAATGGGGCAAAACTCACTTAACAAATGTCTCACTTTACAATAGAAATTTTGGGCTCAATTGTGGTTGTAAGTCAAGGACTATCGATAGTATATTGGGTCAGTTTGAGCCCTCACCGATGACAATGACATATTTCAACGTGTCAAACTCTGTATCTGCCATGATCCCTCTATTCCGCACATGCTGCATCTGCGTCCCAATGACTGCCGGTATGAGGCAGCATCAGCCATGACTGAAGGGCAACATCTGAGTGTAGGTGAAGGATAGATAAATCACAGAGGCCCCTGGTAAACCAGGGCAGAAACCTGGGGTGAAGTTGAGAACCTGGGAATGCCAGCAACTTCCCCATCAATGGACACCACCATCTTGCCTGTGATAACAATGATTAGCAAGTGCCTGAGGATTATATTTATTAGATTGCTGCATCTCAGCTGTGTTTCTCCTCCGAAGAAACCCAGAAGTGAAGTTTTCTTCAAACTGCACACATGTATGAAGCACATGCATGCACGCAAAGCGCGCTATCACCAAACCAGTTGTTAAACTGGGAGGATTCCACCACTGGAGAGCACCAAGGATGCCACAGCTCAACTTTGAGCTGCGTATATTGTCATCTGTTGGCATTATGCCCAGGCATGACATAAGTAGTAGGTTTAATATTTAGAGTATCTGTTCCTGAGCTATTCAAGGCCAACAGCAAAAACAAGCAAAAGCTGAAATCAAACAAAAAACAGGGCTCAGGCTTACAATATAGAGTGATGAGATCAGAAAAGAATGGAGTGGAAAGGAAAAAGGAAAGGAAAAAGTCCTAATTTATATTGGACTTCAAGTGAGGTAAACAATTTATCTATTTACCTACTTAATTATTTACCAAATTTACATAGCTGCCCGTCTCACCCAAGGTGATTCTAGGCAGCACACAGTAGATTAAAAAAAAAAAAACCCAGTGGAATCTAATTGAGTTCAATATTTTATTTGCTACACCTAATGGGTATAATCCTGCCAAACTTGAGCTGTAATCTTCTTACTACTAGATATATCTATCCTGAGAGAGTCTAGAGTGCAACTATCCTACCCTGACCCTTTCCCCTGTTCCCCCTCTGGCTCAGGGCTGTGCAATCTCTTCATACACGTCTCTTTCTTGGAAAACTCTGTTTTGCCCGAACTCTCCTCCACTATCCTTCAGGTACAGATTCCATCAGACTCAGTCGTGGTCACCTAATCCGTTCTCAAGGGCTTTTTCGAAAATCAAAAGGGATAGATAGGGCAGACTTAATTTTAGGAAGAACATTCTGTAGGGAGGGTGCCACAACTGAGAATGCACATATCCTGAGACCCACCAATTAGATCTGTAGCCATCTTGAAGTTCTTTAAAGAAAAATGGGCAAGTACAGTATGGTAGAGCAAGAGCCACACTGTAATTTATTCTGCCAAGAACAGACATCTCTCCAATTCCGCTCATTCACCTCTGCACCACTTTTTCCAGTAGAAATTATGCATGTTTCTTCAGAGATTTCCCTACATTTTTCAGTGACACTAATTTTTATATGGCATTTTTCTTGTTAGCTTATCCTCTGATTCCACCAAATGTACCAAGAGGATTTTGTACTTACATTTCTACCAATATTGAAAAATAGGTAAAACTCTGGGTAGCATTCATTCAGCCAATCAGTTTGCTTTGCTTTTCCTTTGTTCATGTTTCATAATAGTGTGGCAGGTATATGAGCTCACAAAGCAGAAGTAGATAAAACTGGTTGCTTGCCTGAAGGAAAGCTATTCACTGAGAGTTTTTTCTCTGTCAGTGCGCTTACTGTATCTCTCCTTAGTTTTGGTTTTCTTTTTATTTTAGCAGTATTTACCTAGCTTAGATTTAGTTTATTTACAGTATCGGTTTGTTTATTTATATTATTTAATATCATTCTTATTTACTCAGCTTATTTTAGTTTATTTAAACACATTGTTTATTTATCATATTTATTATATTTATTTATTTAGGATTATCTTAGTTTAGTTTGGTTAAATATAGTATATTGAATCAATGATGGACATATTCCTGTATTATGCAGGAAAACTGCTGTTTGAGGTAAGAGATCCTCTACTTTATTTATTAATTTATTTGTCAACTTGCATGTGTGAATCTGGGATTAGTTTAGGATTCAAAGAAGTAATATGACAGGTAACATGACATAAAGAATAATAATGAAATAAAGCAGGAATCAAAGGAATCTAGGAAGAAGTAAAAATTGCTTTAGAACAATTTTTAGAATAAGTTTTGAATTTGAATATTTTTTAAATGACTGTACATCTTCTTTCAGGCCCTTTCTTGGTGAATTGTGTTAATATCTTAAATTTAAAGATATCCTCAGGACCCACATCCAGAAAGGCTGGGAAACATAGCTCTCTGGATTTACTTTGGGTCCACAGAGAGAAGTATGTAGCCATGGGGCTGGTTAGAGCCATCAAATCCCTCTTCCTAATTAATTTGTAACATCACTTGCCTCTTGTACATTTTATATATAATGCTCATCTTTTTAATATTTGGGCACTGTTAGCCTCTAAATGAACAAACTGAGATTGATTTCAAGGTTTATATTGGAAGAAGGGTGCTATTAAAACATCACTTTTAACAGCAGAGCAACTAAAGGCAGCTTCAGCTCACCCTGCAGCTGGCTAGAGGCAACCGCAGGCAATGTCATGAGGATTGTTGCTTAACAATGGTTAGTGAAGGTCTTCATGTTATAGTTACTGACTGTTTAATGTTGCTGCTAAACATCTTAATTTTTAGGTCTGTCTCCGGAAATATAACGAGAGGCAAAAACAACAGAAGGGGTACATCAGTGAACTTCTGGCAAGACACCAGGAGGAGCTGGAGGGAAAAAATGCCAGAATTACAGCTGTAAGTAATTCATTTCCCTTACAATCCTGTGTTAAGCTTCTCTTTCTGTCTGCTTATTTCTATTCTATGACTAACGGATGCTTCTTATAATGTCTGTATCTTAGTTGGAGGAAGAAAATAAAAAACTAGCCAGGAATATGGTAAGTGCTGTTCAGGAAAACAGCAAACTAAAGGAGAAACTTCAGAAGAAACTTGAGGAAATTGAAGAAAGTGAGTATTATTTCAACTTAATACAATTTAATTATTTTTGTTTTAAAAATAAAAGTGATTGATAATTATTTTGTTATTTTTTGCCAGGGCTTGCCCAGCTGAATACAGATGTCACAGAATCCATAGAAGACAGGAGGAGGCAACGCCAGCTAGAAGAATTGGAGGGGGAAGTCGAAGACATGTGCTCCAAGGTAAACCTCTCCAGAATATTTAACCAACATAAACAAAGATGAGATGCCACCTTTATTGGACAAACGAGGAATAATCACACTGAGGGGCTGTTGTTTCATAGGAGATTTATGTAGGAAGCATGCAAAAAAAAAATTAAGATTTTTTTCTCTGATTTTTTTCCAGCTTTTCTTTTGCTGAGATTACAAATTCTGAAAAAAATCTATACAAGAGACGCTTCAGTGCTAGATCTGAAGAAAAGCCTGGGAATGTAATATTCCAGAAATGCCTTCTTTTCTTCCTCAAAACAAATCTGAAAGCTCCTTCTATGATCGGGGCCTTGACAAGGTGAAGGGGCTCATGTGAGTAAATGAAATCGTGGGCTATGTCGTCAAACGTATATATGTCCAGAAGGGTCACCCATGATGGATACTGCAGTTTAACACCGATCGCATCTGCCAACCCACATTGGACTAGCATGGCAGATTATAGTCTATCCTTCCATATGCCAACACAACTTCAAAAATGGCCCTCATTCCCTGGAGGCCCTAGGGAAACTACCCACGGTAGTGGGAATACCTGTCTGAAGGCAGAGGGTGCTAAAATCACCAGGCTAAATCAGGCTGCCTTTGGATTTTACACATACATTCAACATTCAACAATGAAAACAGTCACTCGACTAGAACAACTGCTGATTGAACTCAACAATATGCATTGGGATATCATTGGATTATGATGAAAAGGTGAAAACGTAGTTGATAGGGTTGGGCATTTACTCTACACTAGAGGCATGGAGGATGGACAATGTGGCGGAATTGGTTTTCTCATCAATCAAAAGCTGAAAGACTCTGTAGTAAAATTCCAAAGTACATTGGACAGAGTAGCCCAATGCATCATTCAATTGAACATCCAATACAAGCTTCAAATCATTCAAGCTTACATGCCAACAATAAGCTATAGTGATGTTGAGGTAGAAGAGTTTTACAACGATGTGACCCACCTTCAAGACAAAGACAAATGCCAATACAAAATACTAATGGGTGACTTTTATGCAAGAATAGGAAGAACAATACCTGGATAAAAAGTGGCTGGCCTGTATGGAAGTAGTGAACAAGATAATCGAGGTGACAGACTAGAAGAGTTTGCTGAAGGACAGGAACTTTATATCATGAACTCATTTTGCAAGAAAAAAACATACAGAAAGTAGACATGGAAGAGTCCATTCTGGGTGTTATCATTGTTTTAATGTTGGAAGTGACCATAAAATGGTACAAGCTAAAGTGAAGATAGACTGTCAAAAAGAGCCTATGAAAATGATAAGGATATCACAAAAAACAAAAAGAGGGAAAGCTGTTACAGGAGAACAGCGATTTTGAGATTAATCTATCAAATCACTTTGCTCTATTACAAGATTTGGAAGAGACAAACACTACGGATCAAAATGAACAAATAATTTAAAATGTTCTTGAATCTGCTATATCTATAGCACTGCTGTATAAACACTTTGTATAGTTAAAAATATCTGATGAAACCATTGACTTAATGAAAAAAACCGACAGACAATGAAGAATACTGGAAGTTTCACTAATATATTGGAGTACGTTGAACTCTGTAAGACCAAAAGAAAATGTATCCAAGAAGAAACAGATCAGTTTAACATAAAGCTTGTGAAAAAGGCAATTGAAGAAAACAATGGGATTACTGGAGCAAAATGCAAGCTTATATTAATATAAGAAAGAAATTTTTGCATTAAAATGTGAAGATGGCTCTGTGCGTAGAACAAAACAGGAAATGTTAAAAATAATTGGAAAATTCTATTCAAAGATCAAGATCACTCAGAAGTAAGCCACGAAAAAGGAAATACCAGATATCCTCATGGAGAAAGTTATCAAGTGCCATAAAATCAGTGAAAAATGGCAAAGCTTCAGGAAATGACTGTGTTATGGATGAAATGCTGAAAGCTGGTATTCATAGTTTACACAGGATACTAGCAAAACTATACTTGAGATGCCTCAGAGAAGAACAAATAACCAATGCATAGAAAAATGGTGATTCTTATACACAAGAAAGGGGCCCAAGATGATTTAAAGCACTATCGCCCAATAAGCCTTCTTTCAGTCATCTACAAGGTTTTCACCATGATAATAGCCAAAAGAATATTGAGAACATTAAATGATGCACAGCCAAAGGAGCAGGCAGGGTTCAGAAGTGGTTACAGCACAATGGATCACATCCAGGTTGTTCAGCAAGTCACTGAAAGGCAGAACGAGTACATGATGCCTCTGCGCATGGCTTTCATTGACTATAAAAAGGCGTTTGACTCAGTATTCCAGCAAGTAATAATTAATGCATTGCTCAACCAAGGCGTAGACACTGCTCTCATAAACTTCAATAGACAAAAAAACAAAGGTGACTCTTTGCCTTAATGATCTTAAAGTGGAAATCAACATAGAACGAGGTGTATGACAAGGCAATACAATATCACCTATCCCTTTCTCAGCCTGCCTTGAAGACCTATTTTGCAAACTAGACTGGGCAAAAGATGGAATAAAAATCAATGGCACCTATTCAAATCACTTAAGATTTGCAGATGATGTTGTTCTCTTCTCACGAGATCCAGAAGAGCTACAAAGACATGTAGAAGAGCTGCACAAAGCAGGAGAATCATTTGGCTTAAAAATAAATCTGAAAAAGGTTTTGGTTAGGTTATGTTTAATAAATTTCCCAAAGAAAGAAACATTTTTATATCTGGAGAAGAAATAGACAATGTTGACCACTACATATACCTTGGCCAATGGATTTCAATGGAAGGTGATACAAAAAGGAAAATTGAATGGTGTGTTAAATGTGTTTGGGAAGCATTCAGCAAGCTAAGTGTAATTTTCAAAAACAACCTTCCTCTTGCCGGAAGAGAAAAGATTTCGATCAGTGTGTGCTACCTGTTCTAACATATGCCAATGAAACACAGATGCTAACCTCACAATTGATACAAAACTATGAGTGGCACAAAGAGCCATGCAAAGATACATGCTCAGCATTACAAGACAGGATAGAAAGACCTGCAGATGGATTAGAGAACAAATGAAAGTACACAATATCATCAAGAGAGTAAAAGAATTGAAATGGAAATGCACTGGTCATATTGGTGGGTTTCTACCAGTTCG